TTAACCATGGCAAGAAAGTAATTCTTCAGACAAGAAAAACAAGACCATTTAACTCAATTTTCTAGAACATTCTAGGGGGAGAAAATCACTGCTAGAAATTATTTCTTCACGTAAGAAAAATAAGAAAATGTTTCTTGTAGTGAAAATTTACAAGAAAAAAATTTTAGAACGATCTGTTGCTCTTTTCTTATTTATTCTTAATTTTTCTTTAAATTTCTTCATGTAAGAAAATTTGTCCACGAATTAAGAAAAACAAGAAAAACAAGAAAAATCATTTTTGGTAGTGTATGCATTTTTCACTCCCAAAAATTAATGTCTGTGCCAGAAAATAGCACTCCTCTGTGGACTTTAGAACTCCTTTAACATTCCATCATCAATAATTTGATGCAAATGACCTAATCTACATACATGTGTAGTCTATGCATATCAGTCAACAGCATAACTCAAGATGGCTTACCTGAATTACATTAATTTTGGTAGATGGGTAGGTAAGAACTCAAAATGACTGTCAGCTAGATATGAATGCAGTGGAACTTCCAGTATATAACTGTGTATTATGTAGTAGAGGGGATTCATTCCTGGAGCCACATCATCATCATCATCATCTGTCGACACCCTGGCTGGGGGACGGGGCAAGCTTCTCCACAACACGACGCCACACAGTACGATCTTCCATTGCATAGTTCCCGTTTAGAACTTTATTCAGCCTGTCACTGTGTCACACAGGCTGAAGAAAGTTCTAAACGGGAACTATGCGGCTCACAGATGTCTTTCTGAGGGACGACTGCATGTGCAAGATGTCGGTAGCTTGAGGAATGAATCCCCTCTACTGTATACTGCAGTGGAACTTCCAGTTTTGATATCACACACACAGACCAAGGAAGTTACATTGTGTAAGACACAGACACACATGCTGTATACATACAGAAACACCAGAAACACCCAAAACAAAACCATTTTATGGAGGTATCTTTTATTACTAGGGGTAGGTTGATGTATTAAATGTGTTTAACCTACTTGCAAAATTGATCCTTTTAGATACCATTACTATGGCATTGCTGTGAGAGAATCCTCAATATACTATGATATCATCTACTCAAAGAAGGGAGCTGGTGGATATGAGTAAGTACATTTTGTATTTAAGCATGAAAACGCTAAGTTCAGACACCTTGTACCCCCAGTACTTTATTTACTTTTACTTTTATAAATAATCATTTTGTCTCACTTTGTGATCATGTGGGTGTTTGGCCCAGATCCCATATATCCTGGCTTCAAATCCCAGGCATGCCCTGTTGCATTATGAATGATGTGCAATACTTGAGCGAAAAAATTACTGTTGTGCTGTTGGGAAGGGCACGGTGTGCGGTGTGAATTGAACTGAAATTGATGAATTTACCATGCATGGGACCTGGTCTGGTAGTTTTTTTGTTTTTTTCTTGCCAGGAAGGTTAACATGTTTTCAGTAGCTTTTGTAGTTTTTTTTTTTTTGGTTTGTCATAATTTGAGACGCTTTGTGAGTATAAGGTAAATCCTGTGGATAACATTTTACAGGTGGTTTGATATTAAGTATTTACTAACTAAAGATCATCCAATGAGCTAAAAAAATTTAAAGCTCCTTGGATCATCATATCATTTGTTCATGAAATCATGTTTTCCTGACCTATTTAAAATTGAATGTTTAATATTTCCAACCAATGTCATCACTCTTAGCAAATGATGTTAACCATCATATCCCAGTCCATAATGCAATTATACAATGTCATGTGTATCTTAGCAACTGTGTATTGGGTACAACTGTACTGCAATGTATACTGAAAACAAAGTTTACTTATTGCTGCAGATTGGGTGACCCTGCAAAGAAGGAAGCATCTAAGCAGGTGAGAATGGGTTTGTTCAGTTCAGTTCAGTTCATAAAGTTCATGGGTTTGTAAATACGGTAAGACTTGTCTCAGACAACCAACTTTTGATGGGGGCTGAGAGAAATTGGTCTTCGTAAGTATACAAAAAGCTTAACACCAAGACAGGGAACAAGAAACCTGCAGCAAAGTCTTCACCTATTTTACAAATTGGACTGCATCATTGACCCAAAATGACCCAGCCAGCACCATTTTGCATTGCGCAATGACTGCCATGCTGTTGAAATCAATGGCAAACTGGCCGTTTCCATCACGATTTATCACTGGTTAGGCCACACCATTTTAATTTGTTGGGTCACGGATTCGCCCACTTCATTTTTTTCTGATTTGTAAAAGAAAAAGCATTCCAGCCTCTGAATCAACTCTCCTCTTTTGGTCCCAACAATTAAAGGAGGCCCCTCTTCAATTGAATGTTTGAATTACAAACCAGCCTGGTACAAAAATGTATGTTGACTTCATGGTTCCTATCATCCTATCATGCCATTTGGGGCTATCACAGAATGCCTTGGCCTGTTCTTATTTTTTTCACCCTGTCTTCATATTTTTCCAAAAAAATCTGAGAACCAACAGAACAAATTGGTGTGGCCTTATCATTGTGAGATTATCAGATTTTCAGATTATCAGAATTATCAGAATTTTCCAGATCTAGTAAAAGCCAGGATGTGTGCCTGATAAACAAAAGAAGGGTTGACATTCTGATGTTGATTATTTTTCTGTTGCCCCAAAAATGTCCCATAGTGTCTTTTTAGTTATCCCAGCCTAAATTTTAGTGGTCAGTGGCCATTGTACCACCTTTAATTTCGAGCCCTGTATGTAAGTCTCATTATGCCCACTTTAGACTGGGAAGGCTTATAGGGTTTCAGAATGGAAACGTTCTGGATCGGTTAACCATTGGAAGTCTAAAGAGAAAAAAAAGGGGTTTTATGGGGTTTTACGAAACATTTCCAAAACCACTGCCACCGTGGTTTTGGAACCCTTAAGTGGAAATCGAGTGAGCACAGCCCTGCTCTGGCGGTAAAATGACATCATAGCCGATATGATTGGCTGAATACTGGCTTTGTGGACATATTCCTGCCTACATTCCGAGCTGTCAGAGGAGGCCCTGAAACCCTTCCTGCTAGCAATAGTGCAATAGTGAGCAGAGATGTATTCCAGGCTAGCATGACATATCCGCATATACATGTCACAGGGGAGATTCGAATCCAAGGGAGATTGAAATCAACGATTTATGATCATTGTGTCTTAACGCTAAAATGTGCTGCAATTCAGCACTCACTAGTTACTGAACTAAGGTTAATGTCACTATGTACTAGTATTTATTACCTTCGCCAAGAAGGTTATGTTTTCAGTAGCGTTTGTCTGTGTGTGGGTGTGTTTGTGTGTGTGTGTGTGTGTGTGTGTGTGTGGTTTAGCAAGATAACTCGAGAAGCAGTGGATGGATTGGAATGAAACTTGGTAGGTGGGTAGGTCTTCATGAGACCTAGAAATGATTAGATTTTGGGCTCCCTGGCGGCTTTCCTAGGTACTGCAGCAGAACTTCCGGTTTTGATATCTCGTGATCTAGACATGCTAGGGTCACGAATTTTGGATGGCAGATAGCTCTTGGGATAGGGAAGAAGTGACATGAGTTTGGGTCCCCTAGCGGCTTGTTCTGGAACTGCAGGAGCATTTGTTGAAAATTTTTCGAAGGAGGATAATTCAAGAACCGGTTGACGGATTGTCATGATTTTTGGTATGTAGGTAGTTGAAGTGATGCTTGACATGATCAGCTGACAATTATGCAAATCAGGAGCTAATTTGCATAATTAATGAGGAAATTCTATAAATCTGCTTTGTTCGATAATAGAACTATGAAACACTTGTCACATCACTTGTGAGAACGAGAAAAACATCTGAGGATATAGATTATGTAAATGAGGACCTAATTTGCATAATAAATGGCAAAATGTTTATAATTTCATAGTTGTAACTGCTGGGAATTTCATACTTGCCACATTTGGAAGTTAAGTGAAGGTGAACATCAACAAACATAATTTATTCAAATCATGGCCTAATTTGCATAATTTATGAGGAAGTGCTATAATAGCATTTTTGTTAAGATAAGGCTGTCATTGGGTGGAGAATATGATCAACTGATATAATCCATGCAAATGGGGCTCTTATTTACAAAATCAATGATTAAAATTGTATAATTTGTCAACCACAAGGGTTAACATCATTTGGCGATGGTATGAGATCGTGGAACTCTTGTTTTTAGTAGTATGCAGCACATGTTAGGGTAAGAAGCAATAATTCAGATATTAGATAGATTTATGGGTGGGTGGGTGCGCGGGTGGATAGACATGTATATTAGCCATGGATCCAAAACACCCTGTAGTGGCAAAAAATCACTGCTGCAGTTGTGATCAGCTTTGCCACATTATGGTGCAGTATAGTATTGAACTGCTGGGGGATGCTTTTGATCCATGCAATTCAGCTGATAGTAACTGTGTGTATGTTGTTGCTGCTACAGACAGTGGCCTACTCCCCCAGGTCCAAGCTCGGCACGCTCCTCCCTGAGTTCCCAGATGTGAAGGATCTGAACCTGCCCAGGTCCATCCCAAAAGAGAAAGTGTCAACCTTCATCATGATGTACCGCACCCATTGTCAGCGTATTCTGGATACTGTTATCAGGGCAAACTTTGACGAGGTACATTGTACATTGTACATGAAACATATATGTCATGCATCATTGCACTCATATTACACCAATAACAAGAGAAATAAGAATGAGTTGGTGCGGGTACAACAAGATAGAGCTGTGCGGGTATTTCTGATCTATACCTGTATCTAAGGTGAATGACAATTGAATAGTCGTGCAAATGTTTATTGTCAAGATGTTGCCAGCAACGATATTATTTGGCTGTCTAAAGAGGATCAAAATAGTCGGGCAACGTTAATCCTGGAATCATCGTCACTACCACCTCGGTGTAATCCTTCAGCGGGGGCCCGTTACAGATTTTCCTCCGTCTAAAGTGATCCATCGCCGGCAAAGGGAGAGGTCCTGGGCCTTATGCAAATAAGCCAGCAAGCACTATTTCCTATCCAAGCACATAGCCTTTTAAATGTCATCAAAGCAAAGACGTTATTATCGTCAAACGTGTCTAGTGCAATCTCCTACCAGCCATCGCCCATCAGTATGAACCGATCTGCTGATCCACATGCCTGGTTTTCATGCCAGGCCAGTGGCAGCAGCAAACACTGGGTTCAAACCTGGGTAATTATAATGCCCTTCTCGGTACAACTCAGCGTCTCATCCACAGAAAAAGAACAATCTGCTGCAGCATGACTAAAAACAGGATTGTCTTGCCATTTTGAATTGCGCGGCATACTATATCCTGCACTGTGGGTGTCTGCCACGCTTCCTGGTCGCTCACAACAATGGTCGTGCCATCTTATACTGTCGTCAGTCTAAAGTTAGCCTAACCTGCACTGGCCATTGTACTCAACTTAATATCGCGGTACTACAATGTAGGTGTCCACAATGTATGTTAATTTTTATTTGCCGCATTAACTGTTACTACCTACTCTCTCTACTGACAATACAATGTCATGTAAGAGCATCAATTAATAATGGAAATGTGGTACAGGTAAAATTTGTCTGGTGCAGGTACATGTCATTTTCAATGTACATGTAACCTGCACCAGTGCAGGTAACGTTACATGTATGCAGAAAAGGTATTTCGAGCTCTGCAATGAAAGGCCCTGCTGTTTCCTTTCAGGTACAAAGCTTCCTCTTACACTTCTGGCAGGGTATGCCCCCTCACATGGTGTCTGTGATTGGTTCCCAGACTGTGGTGAACATAGTCGGTGTGTGCGACTCCATTCTGTACAAGGCCATTTCCAGTGTCCTCATGCCCACTGTGTTGCAGGCTTTACCCGACAGGTTAGAAGTATGATTTATTATTATGTTTGTCTAGTGCATTCTATCCACAGGCAAAATTGTGGATGATAGGAAATACTTGTAAAAAAAAAAAGGATAGAGTCATACAGTTTTCATTTCACAATCAGTACAATATAAACATCAGATTCTCAAGCAAGCATATTCAGTGGTGCCCTACCATTTTTCAGTATCATGACACTAAATTTTTTCGAGAATATAGTAACTGTTATTTCTTAACTGACTTCTTGTAAATGCCATTGTAGACAGAGCAGGTCACCCTTTCCAAACGGGTCTGCCTATTTACCGGAAAGCACCGGAAAACACATATAGGAGGCTTAAATCTACCGGAATACACCCTGCATTGATGAGATAACAGCCCAAGTTGATGTATTTTGGTATAAAATAACTTATAGTTATACGCAGCGCAGGGAACAAGAAATACACAATCGGCTGAGGCGGCCCGGCCAGTCGCCATGTTTGTTTACATAGCGTAACGCAATAGGTTTGTTTAGCACGATCACAGAACAGAAGTGAAATGTACCAGTCTGAGAATAAAAAGTTCTTTTGCACTTCAGCATCGCAGTTTGCTTTATTTTGACCATGGTATTTCATGTTTCCTCTTAGACTGGGAATGGGTGACCTATCCAAAATGTTTTTCCAACCCAAATACGTTTAAAATCAGTACTTATGTCCAGAGGGGAGTGCTATTTTCTGGTAGATTATGCTGCAATGAATATATAACTAGCCGACTTTTTACATAATTTTGCTTGTACGACTTGCACAGCACATATTTGTAAAGCGATATCAATATTATTTTCCTTCATGCTGAACCACAATCGATACATCCAGGAACTTTTGATTATGCAATGCTCAAACACTTCAAAGTCAACATAAACATTTCAGTAAAAACAATGGGAGACAAACACACTAATAAGCTGATTATTGAGAACTTACTTGCCTTACTTTGCTTGACCTCTGGCATGGATACTACATGTACATGTATAATATCAGGATGTCTAATGCAGTAAGCTGCCAGTTTTATCCTTTGTGTTTTGATTTTTTCAATTTACTGCCAGGAAATATTAATTGAACAGATAATTAGATTATGCCACTTATGGAAAAAATAATTAGAAAATCAACATTTTCGGCATAAATGAGCAATGGGCAATGGGCAATAAGTACACCAAGAAGGTCAATGGTTTGTAAGATATCAAAGAACACAAATCAGTACAATTTTTTCTTACGGCCCCCGAAATTAGGTCTGTAACGTAACTTTCTTGGTCATACATAGACACCAATGGGGTAGGATGGTGTATTCTGGGATAGTTTTGAGGGTATTTTGAGAGTTTGTTCTGGATTCGATGCATTTTAAGACTTGCGGGCATAATGGGCATTTTATTGTATACATAATATTTATACATATAATATGCATTTTTCACTTCCTAAAATTAATATCTATCGGAATATAGCACTCCCTTCTGGACTTTAGTACTCCATTAACCTCTCTTGCACAATTGCTGAATTTACTGCATAAAGAGTTACAGATGTAGCTTTGGTGTAGAGTTATCTCGTTTCATTATGAATGAAAGCATCATCATCAGACAAGTTGTGAGGTTATATGTATGCCTAAGTATGTAACAGAAGGAACATACATGTACATGTAAGCCAAAGCAGTGCCATACAGTGTAACAGAGGTTGTAGTTGTGGACATGGGAAATATATGCAGTTTGTTTTCCTATTGCAAAAAAGAACATCATTCTCAGCTCCAAAGGCCTCACATGTGTCAATTGGGTTGGTGGAAAAAGGAGTCCAGTCCACTTGGCGGGAAAAGCAGTCCAGTCCGATTTGGGGGTGGAAAAGGCAGTCCGGTGGTTTCTACGAAATTCTACGAAAGACCACAGGCACATTTTTTTTCTTGTGTGTGTACTTCAAGTTTCTATGGGTACTTCGAGTTTCTATGGGTACTTCGAGTTTCTATGGGTACTTCGAGTTTCTATGAGTACTTAGAGTTTCTGTGAGCACTTAGAGTTTGTATGGGAACTTAGAGTTTCTATAAGCAGAAAACTTTTAAAAGGTATATCTTCTTTTTAATAGCTTTAAAATAAAATTTAGTTGCCTAGAAAGGTTTACAGGAATATGCAACTCATAATCATATGTATTTTCATCAGCCACAGGAAACAAAGTGCCCCCAGAAAGTCGGACCGCACACAGAAATTGAAGTACTATATAGAAACTCGAAATACTCATACAAACACTGAGTTCCCATACGAACACTAAGTTCCTATACAAACTCTAAGTGGGCAGAGAAACTCGAAGTTCCCATACAAACTCTAGATACTCATACAAAATTCTAATTTCCCATACAATCTGTAAGTTCCCATAGAAACTCGAAGTTCCCATACAAACTCTAAGTGCTCACAGAAACTCTAAGTACTCATAGAAACTCTAAGTACCCATAGAAACTCTAAGTACTCATAGAAACTAGAAGTACCCATAGAAACTAGCAGTACACACACAAGAAAAAAATTGTACCTATGATCTACTAGAAGTACCCATAGAAACTAGAAGTACACACACAAGAAAAAAATTGTACCTACTATAGTAGATGATCTTTCGTAGAATTTCGTAGAAACCACCGGGCTGCTTTTTCCACCCCCAAATCGGACAGGACTGCTTTTTCCGCCAATCGGACTGGACTCCTTTTTCCACCAACCTGTGTCGATTAGCTTATGCAAGGCTTTCGCAGAGGGACAAATCAGGCAGATGTCATCTGCGTACAGGAGGTGGTTAACATTACTTTACTGATATGCAGTTTGTCATTAACTCATTCTTAATGGATACATATAATGTCTCACCTCTACGAACGCCCACAACGACACTTCCACAGCGTGCTTCCAAGGTACCTTCCATAGCGCGATTCTGCGAACCTTCCACAGCGCGATTCTGCGGACCTTCCACAGCGCGATTCTGCGAACCTTCCACAGCGTGATTCTGCGAACCTTCCACAGCGCGATTCTGCGAACCTTCCACAGCGTGATTCTGCAAACCTTCCACAGCGCGATTCTGCGAACCTTCCACAGCGCGATTCTGCGAACCTTCCATAGCGCGATTCTGCGAACCTTCCACAGCGCGCTGCCAAGGCACCTTCCATAGTGCAATTCTGCGGACCTTCCACAGCGCGCTACCAAGGATATACCTTCCATAGCGCGATTCTGCGGACCTTCCACAGCACGCTGCCAAGGGCAAAAACTACACTTGTCTGATGTTATGGAACATTGAATCTTGCAAACTATCTTTTCGGTTATTAATTTCAGCCATCAATTAATCCAGTTAGATTCTGTCAATGTCTGTAAATGACATCACGGATACCACCTCTGTAATGTAAAGCAATTTCTATACATTGTTGGGGAAGACCACAGTTTCTAAGTTTAAGTATGGTACAAATCGTATTTACCGTCTGAATGTTTAAATTTGAACGCTCATGAAGAAATTAATTTCAAACAATCACAACTTTACTTACAAGTTACAATGCTATGGTAGTGGATTTTCATGTTTCAAGTTTGAAAGTACAAGCTGTAGATAGTGGAAAACTCTTCATGCTGAATAGATTTAGAGATGATAAAAAACAATGTCATGTTAGACCTATGATCTTTATTACTAGTAATATAATACTTCTTGAGTCACACAAAGTAAAAAAAAAAGTTGAGAATAGCCTACAAAGAATCCTTGGTCCAGTGCGCTAGGAAAAGAAAATAGAACACAACAAATTCGTACTTAATATAATAAATCATTTCCCTTTTGATAGGGGTTGAAATATGATTACGTTTGTACAGTATCTGAGCTGGCTATAAGGGACCGTCCGCTAAAATAGGGGAGGGGTTGTAGGGCCTCGGTGCAGCACGCTGTGGAAGGTTCGCGGAATCGCGCTATGGAAGGCCCTTGGCAGCGCGCTGTGGAAGGTTCACAGAATTGCGCTATGCAAGGTTCGCAGAATCGCGCTGTGGAAGGTTCGCAGAATCGCGCTATGGAAGGTTCGCAGAATCGCGCTGTGGAAGGTTCGCAGAATCGCGCTATGGAAGGTTCGCAGAATCGCGCTGTGGAAGGTTCGCAGAATCGTGCTGTGGAAGGTTCGCAGAATCGCGCTGTGGAAGGTTCGCAGAATCGCGCTGTGGAAGGTTCGCAGAATCGCGCTGTGGAAGGTTCGCAGAATCGCGCTGTGGAAGGTTCGCAGAATCACGCTGTGGAAGGTCCGCAGAATCGCACTATGGAAGGTACCTTGGAAGCGCGCTGTGGAAGTGTCGTTGTGGGCCTTCGTACACCTCACCTCACTGGTCCCATAGTCTATGCAATTCTAAATAAAAATCACACTGTAACTCCATATTAGTATTACTAAGTATTTGCAAGATTTTTTCAAGTTATAACTTCTAATATATTATAAATGGAGTTAATAATAATATGTCTTTTTTAGTCTTTTACACCCCGCAAAATATCCGTCCACTTGCAAGTATTAACTATTGAGTGCTACATCAAAGGAAATGTGACTACTAGTAGTTTAAAGAGATTTTCCTGTATATCTACTGAGTTTCTGTGCTGCACAAGCTTTTTCTTTTGACTAAATTTATGGCACAATAGCCCACAATGTGTCCTGGCGGATGGATAAAGATTGGGACCCTGTTCCATGGGGTGCATGGCCCGCCATAACTAGAGTTGAAGTGTTTTTCAGTGATAATTTGTATTCAAGGTATCCATAGTCTTAAAAAGGGTTGCTAACCCATGTACACTCCATATTAGACAAGGAATTTTGGCTGAGGCCAGTTCAGAGGCCACTTGAGGTTGGTTAAGGTATGATTAGTCATTATTATAACCGTCATCAAGGTGATGATATAGTTATCAGTGGTGTGTGAAGAGGCACAGTTTCAAGAACTCAAAATGATACACGTATCTGTATCAGTACATTATAATCTGGCTTCATATTTGTTAATTTCAAGTCTAGAGTCTTAAATATAACAAAATAGAATCTCTCACTGTCAGAGTCTGAATCACTCTCAGCCCCCTCATCGAGATCTAAGTCTCAAGCGCTTTAGTGCTTTAGCGTTTTAGTGCTTGAAGCTTTACTTCACCATCCAAAATCATTCACAATTCACAAAATGTCCAGATGAGCAGACCCTGGGATTGTCCCACAGACAGGTCCATGGAATTTGACCCATATGGCCAACCTGCACGATTGCATTACCAACTGCACCACACCCGAGACGAGTCACATGCATGTACATTGTGCAATATGTTGCCCTCAATACTGTACAATACATAACATTGTATCACACATGAAGCACCTAAAGCACATAATTTAAGCATTGTAACAGTTATGGATCCTATATTCTAAATCTGTGATGTTATTTTCTAGTTTGACACAGGTAATACGCAAGTTTGCTAGGCAGCTGGATGAATGGCTAAAGGTTGCACTAGAGGACCTGCCAGAAAGTCTGTGCCAGATGAAGTTTGACCGTGAGTGGATCATTACCAAGATTTTGCATAATTTTTCCTCTTGTCAATGTAAGCCAGGAATGAAACATTAGATTTATGATAATATAATTATATTATATATAGTACAATTGTCATCCATATTTTTCCATCAGAAGTTCTGATTGGTCAATGTCTGAAGTGTCTTTCTCCTGATTGGTCTACATTATCTGGTCAGTGTATGTGGGCTGTTCCACTTGCTGTGGGGGTAGCACAAACAATGTTTTCTGTCCTTCTGCTCAATTTTCAGGAATATTAAAATGCTGTTTATTTTTTATACATGTATTATTTCTCAAAGAATTAGTTTCTACAAAATGGAAAACATTTTTATTCAACAAAGAAACATGCTACAAATGGTTGCAAAAAAAGTCCACTCCCCCTATAGCTACATAATGGTACGGTCATGGGGTCAATTATTCTACTAAATAACCACTTAATATGATGATTATCCAACAGTTTAACAATCACACTTTCTATTAAGACATTATGGGGTCATGTGAAATGCATGGGGACTTCTGGTTGGCCAACATCATCTGGCTGCATTCTATGGTATGCTTTTAATATTGCTGACTATATTAATCAAAACTATGTTCAGCCAAGTTTGCTTACAATTTAAGAGGTGTTAAGACTTAAAGTAACTCAACATTGTTTCTCCAGTTGCAAGACGATTCTCTCAAATGCTGAGGAGACAAACATCTTTGAATCATCTATGCCAGGTAGGATCTCATATAATGCCAATTGACTAAGAAAATATGTAATGAGGGTGCCCTACTTCCGACCTACCCCTAATTCCAGACTACTTTGAAAAAATCATTGTTGCAGTGTTATGCCTGGAGGCACTTGCCTATAAATACCCACAGGAATGGACAAGGTTTTGTGTTGATATCGATTATCTCATAAAGTTTGTTCCAGTTCATAAGTCAACAGACGAGTGAAAAATTTGTTTGAATTCGACTCGATCTTCCTTCGAGTTTTGATTTTGCAACAGCGGCACTTTGGAGCAAGTCACGTAATGGTAAAAGGAGGACTTGTTTGGGACAGAAAACAGTTTAAGATTGTTTTTGTCATATTTTGTGTATTCTAAATACTAAACTCTCTCCAAAGATTGCCCTGTGTGAATAAGGGCGACCTCTATTTCAATAGAACGTTCCAATGGCAAAATGACCAAAAACCTGCCGTGCTTTTCACGAACCATAATATGCTAGGGTGCAAGGTGCTGCAATGAAGTGAAAGACAGTCAGCTGTGCAGCTTTAATGATTATTATCTTCATCTGTCAATATTAATTTAAAAAGCCCATGTTGCACTGGTTTTTGGTCAGACAAACTATTAGTACATGTATTACCAAATGTACAGATGTGCGTTTGCATGGAACATAGGTGGGAATTAGGACCCCTCCCATTACCAGTACTAAGTCATGAGCTACTCATTTGTCAAAACTTGGATGGAAAAGCCTTACCCCCATGGAGCCTGTGCTCTACAGCAGCAAGACCAGCCGGAAGACCGTATTCCTTTTTACAGATGTACCCAAAATCCAATAGTCGAGTTTCAGAGAGAGCACAGAATAATGATCGCAGTCAAGAATTGCTGTTTTTTGAGTTGGCGTTTGTGTGCCGTTTGTGTGTAAGTATTCTCAAAGAAAGTATGGGCCTTGTGGGATCTGTTTTGACATTTCGTAGGTTGGGACACGGCATCTTGCAAGTCAACTCGCAGGATTTTGTAGTAACAGCATTTCACTTTGTACAACATGAAAGTACATGTGTGTACCCTCCTGCCAGTAAAAATGTAGCCCACATATGATATTGTTGAATTCTTGACTTAACTGCATTGCACCGGTCTTATAAAGGTTTCATTAATGACTGTCAGTGATGTTTGCCAACAGGCATCTCGGACAGTCATCCATAGCAGTGACATCACATCACAGATGCTGGAAGATTGGCAAGCAATTGATATCATCAGTATTGTAAAACAGACATTGTATACTATGGAGAATGGGCGTGAGCAGGAATTTACGCTCGTCAAAAAATGTAAGTACCTAATTAGTTCCTTCTTTGCCCTATAGACTATTAGTCACTTAATAAAATTGAAAAATCTGACCATCCTTTTTGATCCATTGCACCTTGTGCAGTGTTGAGCTTGTGCTCAACAGGCAGTACCAGCTGCAAGTCTCTTTTCACGTCCACCTAGATTTAAGGCCTTGAAAAGTGCTAAATTGTGCCATGACTGTTCCAAAAAAAATGACATGAGTGTTATATAAGCTACAATGTACGGTTCAGGAGGGCATGACATTAATTCTGTCACTTCTAAATTCTTGACATATACATGTATAATGTAACACCAGTAAGCTTAAAAATTTTTACCAACAATTACCAATTACCCACTCAATCATTCAATATTGTTCTAGATCTGCTCCAGATGCCCAGTTTTAATACATAATTATGGCCATGAAGTTGTTACAGTAGTAACATTCCAATAAGGCCACAGCAAGTAATTTTTATGGATGACATCCGCGCGCACATTGATTTTCGCCTGTTCTAAAAAAAATTTTAAAAAGATCACGTCCACAGAGGCTCTGGCCTGGCTCTAGGCCTGGGTTGTCCACAGTAGTTAACGACAAGTCTGAGCCTGGAATCCAGGCTACCAAAGCTCCACGGCTCAAGTTCATAGTATTACGTACAGTGCCAATTCAAAAAGCCAGCATGTGCGGGCTTGTCGTGTACGTCGCTAAGTCCTGTCAGTACTACCGCAAAGTCACAACACCAGCTTTGTATTCCTGTGGTTTAGTAGCATTTTTATTTTTGGCTGGAACTTTTTTTAATCGCGCACTAGTTTGGGGGTCTTCAGAGGATGTCATCCATATAATTAAGTCTGTGTGGCCTAATAAGTTAAGAAAAAGATTTGTACTGTACATCAATGTATCTCATTCGAATTCAAACTCAATTCTAATTGGGGGCTTTAACTGAGTAATACTATACAGGTCCAGTTTATTGGGATGCTCTCTTATACATAACTTCCATAAAATCTGTGTACCAGCCAGGCAGTCGTTGTTGATGGCAGGCATCTTGGAATCGCGGGCAGTTAAATTTTTTATATTACTTCTTGGTGGAATACGACTAGAACCCGGTGAATGTTATTATAACTGTACAATAAATTCTAAGCCTTCCATTATTTTCCCAAATTTTTCCCGAAATGCGTAATATTCCCTGCCCACTTTGTGCATTATGCTGACAGTTGCTGACAATTTGGTGGGAAATAATTTGAGGTTCAATTATTATATTTCAGTCCATACCATATGGTATGGATGAAATATATTGTGTTCTCTGATGTTTCTTCTCCTTCTCCTTCTCCTGCTAAACAGTCAAAGGGATTCAACTCTGTCATTTTTTAGCCACATGACCTGAAATTTGGCATGGAGGTAGAGTGGGCCAATACCCCCAGGCTTTTTTTCATTTTTTTGATACATGCCTTAGAAAAATTTTTATGAAGGTTTTTTGGGGCATTTTTCGACAAAAAAAGGATTTTTGGATCCTGAGCCCTGGTTTTACAATGAAATGATCTGAAATTCGGTATAAGGGTACCTTGAACATGTGTCTACAGAATAGCAGTCACATATTTGGCCAACACTACTTCCAAATGACTCATTTGGGTGACTTTAATGGCTATTTTCAGCAAAAAAAGGGCCAAAAGTGCTATACCCGTTCCATGTTCCATCTAAAGAATGGCCCGTTCCATCTGCCGTTGGCCATGGAACACGTGTTCCATTGAGGGTTACCTGGGGTCACATTGCACGTAAGTCGTGCGTAATGACCCACACATTCAATTTTATGTGCCTAAGACCTTCAAAATGTATCAAATCTCATCATTGTTAAGTATTTGCATACCTGTAATAAGATTAGTAAAGCTTTCGAGATTCAATGTGCTTATTCTTGCATCTTTGTTCTCAATTACATAGCTACTATATAATTCATTTATTTGAGAATCTTTGCCAGTTTTACACTGGGTTAATTTTATAATAGTCCACTTTTGCGTGGGAGGGAGATGGACTGAAATATGCTGTATTTGCTCCCAAGCAAATGTCGGCCTCTCTAGTTGTAAATGGATTGCCATAATTAGGGTTGATCACTGTGCTTTAGCCACTTTTTTCATTATATCAAAGGATTAGTGAGACTGTAATTTTTACTTTATACTGTCTGTCAACATACATGTAAAACATGGAAATGAATCTATGCTTTCTGTAAATTGTTGTTTACACAAAAACAAGGGATAAACACTTGGGTAAATAGAAATATGCTATTCAAAATAACATGCTTCAATATAATACAAGACATTCAATCTAAGGGTCAGTGTCATCACTAAGTCTTCTAGTTTGTTGAAAATAAATTTGAACATAATTGATGATCCTCTCTACCATATCCACACAGTGTACAAAGAGTTTGAGACTTTGCTAGAAGAGCAGGCACCCATTGAGGCTTACACAGAGTGGCTTGATC